ACAGCTTATCTAGATTCAGTATATAATTTCAATAAGAGATACAGCAACATGAAATATATACATTTTCAGCGGCAATCATTGGTCGATTCGCGGTGTAAGAGAAATAGTAACTTAAACAAAACAAAGCAAACGTTGCCACCGGTGGAAAAGAAATACAGCCAAAATTTGGGAGCCACGTAAGAGAATTATATATATTAGATACTAGGAGACTCCTGATCCCTGCTCGCTAACACTCACCAACCAATACAAACGTACTTTCTCTGAATAAAAACACTTTTTATTTCCTTTGATGGATTTGGATTCTTGGTCTCCAAAACATGACTGCCAGTCACAATCTGAATACGTTCTCATTCGTTGAGCAAAGCATTCGAAATTTAATTTCAATTTATGCGTATTTTTGGTACATCGAAATTTTTTAAGTGAATCGAATTATCTTTGCACACAATTAGAATTTTTTTTCTTTTGCATACAATTGTAAACTCTTGAATTATAAGGAAGACCGATTTTCACATCCATATAACCTATCGAATTTTAAATGATAAAACAATTTTCACTCGATCAAATTATTTGTGAAAAATGAAAGTTTGAAATACGACTTACGAGATGGCGAAATAAGCAGAAAGGGAAATTTTCATTCGAAGGTTAAACTTTAGACCCTACTCCTGATTAAACTTCTTCTTCGTCAGCACTACAGCCTAGTGCAGACCAAGGCTTTCTTAATTAGCTGCCTCCAGATTTTTCCACCTGTTTATTCTCAACAATTTTAAGCCGTTCTCAACACTGTCCAACCATCTTGTCTATTAGGTCTCCCTCTTCTTCCAGTTCCTTCAATTTTCGAAAAACTAAGTTTTTTTTAACTAGGTACAACTCTTCCCGTCGAAAAACGTGCCCCAGCTATCTGATCCTGTAGTTCTTAATAACCCTCAAAATATTAGGTAATCTATATTTATTGTATATCTCATGATTATATAAACTTCTCCAAACATTATTTTCATTAACTGCTCCAAAAATTGACCGAAGGATATTTCTTTCAAAAATGAGTAGTCTATTTTCCTCTGTTTTATTAATTGCCCAGGGTCTCGCTACCATATAGAATAATTGGTCTGATTAAGGTTTTGTATAGATTTACGCCTGATTAAACTAGCTGGTAAAAATCGTACTATTCGGAAAATAGTTATTAAAGTGTACTCTTCTTACGATAATGTTAACGTTTTACCTTTGGAAAACAGATTTGTTTACCCCATTTCAAAATCAGATATTTCTATTCCAAAACACAGCTATTTAATCCTTATTTAGACAATATTGAATCGGACACTGCAATCTACGAAAGGACATCGTAAATGCGAGGAAGGATATTACATATACGAATCGAGATTCATTTTCCATTAAAATGATATTGGAACGGAAGTGATGACAGTCGCAATGAAGATTATTTGCATTACCTCAATCGATTATTCAGCGGTGTATATTATATTCATTTTGTCGCGGATTTATTTATTTATTAGATCATCTCTGTATATTATCGTAAAACCCAATATCGTCATAATTGATTTATTTCCTTATGGATTTGTTTCTTATACATTTTGCTATAAATTGTTTTTGGGATTAGCGTAAAAATGTATGTTCAGTGCTTACTTTTTTAATTGTTTTTTAAATTTGTCGTTCATTAGTCAAGTTATTCTAATAAATTTTGATTTAAAAAGAGGTCAAAAATTATTTGAATGGAAAATTCTTTTCTGTTTGTCAGGCATTTTAAAATTTTGAGAAAACTCAACTAACTTTTTCAACTAATTTTTTTTTTTTTTATTGAAAACTTCATACTGCTCTTTTTTGCGTCAATTTTGTATAATTTATACGCTTACTATAATTTATATGCTTATAATATTACTTCTATAATTTATATGCTTATGTAAAATACATATTTCAATATTTGTATAATCATACAAATTAGCGTTTGTTTTAAAATCTCGGAAAAAATACAAAATTTTGCAATTATTTTTTTAATTGTAAACTTCAAATTGTTCTTGTTCGAGACAATTTTGTATAACTTATATATTTTAATACTTTGTAAAAAAAATACATTTTAATATACGTTTAATCATACACATTCGCAGATATTTTAAAATTTTGCGAAAATAAGAAATCTTGCAACTATTTCTTCATCGGAAACATAAGATTATTCTTTTTTTGAGAAAATTTTGTAAAACTTTTTAATATTTAGTAAAAATATATATTTTATTATATGTTTATTCATACTTATTCGCATAGATTTTAAATTTTGAGAAAATACGAAATTCTGCAACCATTTTTTTTTATCAGAAACTTCATAATGTTCTTTTTTTAGCGATAATTTTACATCACTTAAATCTTCTCAATGAAACTATACTCTTAATTCAGCGCTTTCCAAAAGGTATTCCGTGTAACCCTTGAATTTCGTTTAAAGAGCAAAGAAAATCCGAGAGTTAGACATTTTTTGTACCAGTGTAATAATTTTTTAAAGCGGTAACAATACTTTTACCAAATCAATAACCCTTTGCTTAATTTTTTTCAGTTATTTACATGAAATTGTTCCAATACAATGCTAATGAAAAAAAAATAGAAAATAAATACTTTCTTATTAAAAAGCAGTATACTGAATAAATTATGAAAAAGGATTCGAATTTTAAAAAATTTATATATAAGTATTTTTCATTAAATTTGAAATAATTTCAATGCTATTTTTCAAAAATCATAATTCAACATATTTCATTCTCTTTCAGCTTATGCATGTACACGAAGTACAAATTCAGATTCCGCTCAAGAAATGTGAATTTAACCCCTTAACGATCGGTTAATTTTCAAGAAAACAGTCATAAAAGTGCCTATTTTTTTATACACGTGTATTATACTCGTATTTGATTAGTGCTGACATCTAGTTTAAATAAACTAACTATCTACAATTTCCTTAAAAATATCCTGGTACTCCCATCTGGTGTGTAAAATGAGAAATAAAATGTTTTCCGGGCAAAAGAAATGAATTAGTTTCATTCTTAATGGCGCGTTACTACTATTTCACGGGAGCGAGAAATAGAGGGCGAAACCTCATCCCGTCATTTTCACGGGAAAGAGAAGGAAGGGGGCCCTAATCCTAATTTTAAGATAATTGATGAAACTAAGAAAATATTTCATTCTTCATATTAAATATTTTCAAAATAATAGCATTGTTTCTTTGATTAGTGTATTCAATTTCAATTAAAATGTCGGGGTTCCGTTAAAAAAAGGTTTCATCGTTTAGAGTTCCAAAGCCTAGAAAAAAAAATTGGGATCAGAATTGGAAATATTACCTTTCTAATAACAAAATGCATGGAAAAGCAATTCTGCAAAACCAAACTTCGCATAAAATTTAGTTGTTAAGAATTTTTTATTCACTATGAATTTCACTCAAGTTGGAATAACATAAATGTCGGCGGAGGAAATACCGGACAATACACTTACACTAAAAAACACACGAGTTTCAAGAATACTGTTCAGTACTCCAAAAAAAAAAAAGTGGTTGGTATATGACGGGTTCACCACTTTTCTAAACTTTCAAAAGAAAGACAACATCCCACTTGCTGTAGGAAGGCATGCTCAGAATTGAAAGTTTAGCGTAGCACACTTGTTTCCCAATTTAGCATCCCGTACTTATCGAAATGAATAACAAAAATTTAACACAGCATATATATAACTGTAACACGCGGAAGGCTGAAACACTGGGTGCTATGTTATCATCGCCCTTAAGGGGTCCAAAAAGGTTTTTATTTACTTCGATTTTTTTAAGAAAAAAAAAGTCTTATTCTGAGTTATTAGTTCAGTACAGCAATAACTGTTTCACTCTGAGCAATTTGTCAAGTAAAGATAATAATAATTAAAAACTAAATGAAGTTACAGCAAAAATGCTGAAACCCACTTACTGAAAACAGAAAATAACAAATCCATCTTTTACATTGAAGTTGTATGCTTAGTCAAGTATTTTGTTTTAAGCTATTTATTTAAAGTTTTGTTTTTAAATCTGTTTCTTTAATTAAAAAAAAACCTATGAAGTTAAAACTTACTAATGAATACTTGCAACCCCGGAATAGCTCTCAAATCACACGGCTGTGCACGGCGTATTAACGTTGCAGCTATCAGGCTTGGATTTGTTTCTAATAATAACCTTAAAACTCCTCTACCAATCAAACAGGTTTTCGATGTTTACACACCCTTCTTCCACAATAAGTGGTTCGTTAGATTTCGCTTTTGCTTATACAGGGTGCGTAGCCCAAATTATTCAACAAAAATAAGCACCTTTTAAGCACTTTTCAAGTACTCAAAAAATATTTTTAAGCACTTTAAAAAAATATCCTAATTCGGCAGGGTTGGAAAGTTTTTGACAATTGACGGTTTTATCTTGTTTTAACCGTCATGTCAAAAAAAAAAAACTTTTGGCATTGTTTTTAACAATTGTCAAAAATCATGAAATTTTGAATCACGTAAAATGAATGGCGTTTTCATACGCTACAGACTAACAATACGGAGAAATAAGATTGAGGTTGAATTAATAGTGAAAACGTTGTATAGAACAATGTAAACTGTGTCTTTTTGCATAATTCGAAGCGAAAATCAACATAGTGAAGGAAAAATCTCATTTTGAGAAAGGGAAAATCGAGCACTTTTTAAAAACACCCAATGAAAAAAGCACCTTTAAGGGCTTTTAAAAAACGAAAATAAGCACCTTTAAGAAATGCTAAGCACCCTGTTATACCTGTCTTGAATAGTAATGTACGACCTGAATCGTGTGTACTTTGAGACAAGGATTGGATTCTAAAAATATATTAAGGGCAGTGATTACAGAATACCTTGTATGCATAATCTTTTTTAGACCCTATGAAATGGACAACACCAAAACAGTATGATCAATACGTTCCTCTAAGTATTAATATTTGTCTTCCTTTTAGAGCATTATACACACTTTGCTATAACGCATATCACTTTTATTCCAGATCAAAGCGTAACCAAGGCAACAACTCGCCCAGTTCCAAATCACGCCATTCCCATAAAGATACAGAATCCCAGAAATCGTCGCACCACTCTTCCGGAGAGGGTCACGAAAAAAGGAAAAGGAGGCGGCGAAAAAGAGATTTGGAGGAAGGATTCGAAAGCTTAGAGGTAGTAGAAGAACGCAGCAAAGCGACGTGCGTCGTGGTTGCCATCAGTTCTACCATCATCCTATTGGCCGTGTCACTTGTGATAGTGACTCTGTACTTAACGCCTCATTTCGATGACTTTGAAAGAGGTAAAAACCGGTTTCTTTTTTTTAAAAGAATTTCTTTAAAATTGTTGTTTCATAAACAAAATGCGCCAAATTGGTGTTTAAATTTTTATAGATTTGACATGTTATTGTTGCAGAGTGCGTAGCTAAATTTTGCAACTAAAAATAAGCACCTCAAAAATATTTTCAAGCACTTTAAAAAATATTTTAATTAGGATATGAGCACTAATAATTTTTTTTCCTTCATATTGTTGAAAGTTCTTCATATCTATAGGTTAACAAAATGCAAAATAAATTTTACAATTTTAAATACATTCAATATTGAGTGAATCATTCAGTTTTTCAAATTTATAATTACTTCACACAATTATGTAAAAAATTATTCAAAATTATAAATAATTAATTTAACTATTATCTAAAAAGATTATCTCTCTTGCAAAATGCAGCAGATTATCTCTCTTGTAAAATGCTCATGAGAATGCATGAATCCTTCCCACCGAATCCAGCTCAGTATTCGAGCCCGCAAATATTTCATAAAAAGCGTTTTCATACGCTACAGACCAATGGTATGTCGAAATAGATTGTGGTTGATTGAATTATTAAAAAGTTGAATAGAACAATGTGAAAAACACGCTTTTTTAGAAATTCGAAGCAAAAATAGATGGTAAAGAAAAAAAGTCTCATTTTGGAAAAGGGAAAATTAAGCACTTTTTAAAAACACCCAAAGAAAAAAGCACCGTTAAGGGCTTTTAAAAAACAAAAGTCGAAAATAAGCACCTTTAAGCTCTTTTTAAAAACGCTATGCACCCTGTGTAAATAAACTANTTTTTTTGCTCCCCCGACTGAAAAGAGAGCTGAAGGGAAAGCACTGGGAGTCGGTGGAGAACATCCAAGCTCACGTTACAAGGTTCCTGAGAGGCATTCCTGTTGAGGAGTTCCAGGGTGCCTTCTAGACGTGGCAAAATCGTCTCCGCAAGTGTATTGATGCACAAGGGAACTATTTTGAAGAATTTTAACCATTTGTACCCATAGGATCAATAAATCTATTTTTCCCAGAAAATGCGCATTACTTTCAGAACGCACCCTGTATATGTTAACAAAATGCAAAACAGTTTTCTAAATTACATGATCATGATAAAATAACTAGTTACTGACAAACAAAGAATTCTTTTCATGATTATATTAGCCACCATAAAAACAATTTTAAATTCATTCATTATTGAGTGAATGATTCAAAATTATAAATAATTAATTTAACAATTACTAAGAAAGATTATTTCTCTTGCAAAATGCCGCAGAGTTGCTCATGAGAAGGCATGAATCCTTTCCACCGAATCTTGCTCAGTATTCAATCCCACAAGTATTTCATGAAATGATTGGCGTTTTCATACGCTACAGATCGATTGTATGTCGAAATAGATTGTGGTTGAATGAATTATGAAAACGTTGAATAGAACAATGTGGATAACAAGCTTTTTGCGTAATTCGAGGCAAAAAACGATATGGTAAAGAAAAAATCTCATTTTAGAAAAAGGAATATTAAGCACTTTTTAAAAACACCCAATGAAAAAAAGCACGTTTAAGGGTTTTTAAAAAACGAAAGTCGAAAATAAGCACCTTTTAGCACTATTTAAAAACGCTACCCACCCTGATGTGTTAGACACTGATTTATTCAGACTAATTTAACCAAATTGTTAGTGATGTTTTCATAGTTAATATCATGTGACTGTAACTACTACTGCTTCCCCTTAATTTTTATTGTTTTACTTTAGTTTCGCTTATGGCAGCGTTGTTGAAATGTTTTATGTCGGATATTTAATTAGGATTGATAAATATCACTAAATTTAAGTTGGTTTAGAATTAACAAATGTTTGTCACGTCTTAATTCGTAGCTGTACATTCATCTGTAGAACTTGCAGTTCATTTGAGTAATACTAAAAGGCATCCGTAAATTTATTTGTTTGTTGCAATTTACACAAATAGTGATGTAGAAGTAACTGTTTGCAGTTTTAACGTACTATCACAAACAGTTGTTAAATAATTACACATAAAATAAAAGCACGGTATCTAATTCAAAATATTGTTAGTGTTACTCACTTTATCTTAATCTCAGCTTCTTCCTAATAAAGTAGATATTCTTAACTAAAAGAATCGAGCAATTATTAAGAAATAGTACAAAACGATATATTTAGTTTTCTTGGAAATCGACAAAATTGCCACTCGTTCAAAAGTAAACCTTAATAAGAATATTACAATCACTTCAATGAAAAATGTAAGAGCAGTAATGTTCCGTTATAAGTTTCAGTTGCTCACAAAAGATTAATTAAAAAAAGTTAATTAATTTTTATAAAAATAATAATGACAAACCATTTAACTTTCTAACATCATCACTTTAAATAAAAAACAGTCGACGCAATCTCTAAGCTAGCATATTCCTTGAATAATTGATCAAAATTATTCACCTAACCCAGATTTTGATCATGTTTTGAAAACAATAGAACTTATTTTTCTTTTATAAAATGTAATTAAATATTATATTTAAAAAAACATTTGGCCTGTAAATGAAAAATAAATACACAATGTCCAAACTGAAGCAAGCTTACTGGGAATTTAAAAGATTCTCCTTTGGTGGCGATGAAGATGATTATATCGTATCAAACGATCATCAGCTGGACTCTAAAATACAATTACTGCAATATTCGGATATTTGTTTAGATAACTTCATCATTGTCTTGCAACGATACAGTAACACTCTTAAAGATTTACACAAATCCGAAAAGACATTTGGCAATATCCTTGAGGATTTGGGCGACAAAGACTCGACAAGAGCAGGTATAACCATGACCGTTTGCGGCAATACATTCAGAAAAATTTCTCGCCGGCGTAAATATTTGCACACCAAGACAGAAAGACTGCTACAAAATGTTCGCAGTTTCCATCAAAATGCTACACCAGATGCTTTTGAAACTGTTTCTCTGATGGAGCGAGCAAGGACTTCATACAGATCCGGTTTGATGTGGTTAAAAGAAGAATCGCGCCAACTAGATCCGGAAGGTGGCCAACACGCCACGAAATTCAAAGAGGTGCAGGATCACATAAGAAAGCTGCAGAGTCGGTTTTATAATTCCAAACTGAAGACACTGCAAAAAATCGATTTATACTTATACTCGCGGTGCAATTTATTCTCTCAATCAGTTGTACCGTACCAGAGAGAATTCAGCAAAATGAGTTCTTTTGTCACAGCCAAAGCTGACATGGCGTTAAAGGCTATTCCAAATGAAGTCACGCCCACCTATTTAAACAAGTATGCGAAAGAGATATACTGTCCGTTGTTTCAATCAAACCTACCATCTAACAGGTCTACTGGAAAAATATCAAGACCACTGAAAAAACGCGGCAAGAAACCTAAAAGACATAAAGAAGTTCAAATAATAAATCATTCAAGCGAATTGCTAATAAATTTTGATGAACAATCGGATCTAACTATTACTCCTTCTGTACCGAACTGTAATCTAAATAAAGGATATCTTGACGATTTGATTGCAATAACTTTGGACTTTAGTCCAACTAATGTCATCATTAAAACACCAAGCAATTCTGTGAAAGAACACTTGCATGAACTAGATGTGGATGTTTTTAACACCTTTGGCGAGAAAAATCAGGAAACCTCACTCATTCCATATCGAACCAAACATGGACATTTTGATGTTTGGTCTTTAATAGAAACTACTGAAATTGAAGAGAATCTTCCACGGGCTTTGTCATCGAATTGTTTCAGTAATTTCGATACACCATCCACTGTTAAATTAAATGAAATATTAGAAGAGTTTGACCCATTAAGGTGTGAAGAAAAAACCTCCTTAAGTTTAAAAAAGAACTTGTAACGCATAAAAAGTGCGAAGATAAAAATTTTGAATTTATCAAAGATTTTGCATGGATAAGCAATTTAAAATATAAAAAAGAATATTCTAGATTTAACTTCTTAACTAGAAATAAATGTTTCAATTGATCAACTTATGTTTATTGCTTTAATTTAAAATTTTAATTAAGTTTATGGGAATTTCAAAATAAGAAAATTGACAGCACGTTTTGGTTTTAAGAAAGATTTTTAACTTCGACAAAATACAAGGGGCTCCATAATTCCCGACTTTAACGTATATTTTTAAGAAAGTTTAGGTAATGGGATTGCAAATTAATATTTAAACGAAAAAGCAAAAACACCAAGTCTAACAAATCACACTTTAAGGGTAAATAAGACAGAAAAGAAAAAAAACCTATTTGCATATTGAACTTCGGGATCATTACTATTTCCTTTTAGCTCATTGATACCCTTATAAGAATAAAATTATAGATGAATACATATAGTATTTAATCTGTGATTAATTTTATTACGTGGTTACATTTGTATCACGTTTAAAAAAAAAAATTAACTTCACAGCTCAAATTTGTGTAAATCTATGTAATCGTATCATCCAGACGAAGTTTTAAATACCTATAATTGTTGTGCTGCCATCTATCGACGATTGGGGAAAACACTGTCAGTCCTAAGGTGAATATTTGAATGCTTTAATAACATAGAATTTATAGTTTTCGAATAAGGGCTTTTACAACTTTCGCCATAGAAGTAAATGTGAATCGACTAAACTTTTTAAATATTGTATGCTAACTATGTATATTAATCATGATTAAGAAATTGCACCAAACAGAATTAAAAAACAATAAAATATAAATTGTAATACTTGTATTATTAAATCACAATACTTAAACCTAAATTATGATATCTAAAATCATAAAACTTCTCGTAAGATGGGGAAGTTTAAAATTTGATAATAAGGAAGAGAAAAGTTAAAAAAAAGATAAAACAAAAAAAAACAAAAAAAAAATTCACAAACAATACTCACACAAGGTTGCGAAATTCCCACTTGTCACTGGCGATTAAATATTTAACAATGGCGTAAAAGTGTTATCTTTTAAAATGTTAAGTTGTTATTTAAACTATATACTCTTATATTATCCGTGCATCAATTATCCGGCTGTTATGGAATAGAGGGTACACGGTCCTCGTTATATTGATCCAATGTAAAGTGATCGTAATGGAGATGTTATCAAAACCGTCGCCAATAGCTCATTGTTCCGTTCTAGAGCGACGTAAATAAAGTACTACTACTTAAATTTTGAAAATATGAGTCAATTTTTATTTACGAAACCATTGCTACTGGCAACATTTGAAATCATAACTCAACCTTATTTCGATTTATTATAATTACTTCAATAATTATATTTCGATTTTTCACACGGCTTTTTTAAACACTTTCGAAAAGGAAAATAAAAAAAAAAGGCCACAGTTTGGACTTCAGAAGGGCAAATAACTAAAATATTTTTAAAAAAATCTTTAATTTTTTTTTTAATCGAAATTGCCGATTAGATGAGATTTTTCCATTCAGTTTAAAATTATCAAAATCATTTTATTCTCATTTTTTGTGAATCTTTATGAGAGGCAGAGGATGCAGCATAGGTGTAAGTTTTTAAATATTAAAAAAATTGGACCACAGACGTTTTTCATTTTCTCAAACCTGTGGCTTTTCTTCTTTTTGACGTTTTTTTTTGCTCCATTTTCAGAATAAACAAAAGGGACTGTTAGGTCAAGTTAAGAAAAAGATAAGCTTAAGCCAGTTGTGATTTTAAACTTTTGTGCAATTTTTCAATAGTAAAATATACATGCATTTTTTTATTAGTGGTACACAACGTTACGAAAAATTAAAAGAGGGTACACAAAAGTCAAAAGTTTGGGAAACACTGTCTTATGGTCTCCAAAAAGTTCTTCACACTATTAATATGTATGTATATATGTATCTGTTATACATCTGTTAACAATTTGAAAATGGTCGAAATTTTTCATGAAATTTTGAATCATGTAAAACGAATGTTGTTTTCATACGCTACGGACTGACAATACGCCGAAATAGATTGGGGTTGAGTAAATTGTGAAAACCTTGAATAGAACAATGTGAATTCCCTTTTTGCATACTTCGAAGCGAAAATCAACATGGTAAAGGGAATATCTCATTTTGAAGAAGGGGAATTAAGCACTTTTTAAAAATACCTAATAAAAAGCACCTTTAAGAGCTTTTAAAAAAAGAAAATCAAAAATATGCACCTTTAAGCACTTTTTAAAAACGCTACGCACCCTGTTTTAATAAAAATTTTACATAAATATAAATATTTCCTCTTATTCTTTTCAGGTTACTACTGTTGCAACAATACCGTGGATCCCCATAACAATCCACCAAAACATTGATGGCTGAATTATATAATAAATTAAATATATTATTGAACTGTGATGAAAATTATAATTGATGTATATTAATGAATTGATTCTAGGAGCTTATTATAATTATTCATTCAAAAAAAAAATTGCGACAGCTTAAATTCGATAAATATGCTTCGTGTGTTCAAAAAAAAAAAAAAAAAAAAAAAAAAAAAAAAAAAAAAAAAANACACCTAATCTTCTCGAAATACCGTCCTTATAAGTAAATAAAAAATGAAAGACTTATTCTGAGACAATAACAAACAAAATTTCCATTTTTCTTATAGTTATTGAAAATGCGAAGTGGTTAACTTTCTTTATTTTTGTAGCTCGTTCACCAGGAGTTGGAACTTGGCTCCGCCTTCATCACGTGGTATGAGACGATACTATTTCGCCACTTTTGGGAGAAGGTTGTCAGCAATCCTGAACAAACTTTATCTGCATTTTTTTAACATTAAATATTTCATAAATTTGATATTTCGCGACATTTTTTTATGATATTTTTCTCTTTTAAATGAATAGTTAGTCTTTTTTGAGACATTTTGCTGGGAAAACAGGTCTTCAAATTTAAAATATATTTAATTAGCTAGAGAAACGAAAGGTATTATAGCAGATGACAAAGCGAAGTAAGTGACTGAAAAAGAAGTCACTGTTAGTGTTTGCCGCGCATTAACGGTTGTCTCAAATTCAAGTGCGGAGATGCTTCCCTTCTTACTTCGGAGCTGAAATGAACTCTGCGTCCGAGGAAGTGGAGCCAAGTGCCAACTCCTGGTGAACAAGTTAATGATTATAGTACAAGTTAAATGATGAGAAGGCGTAACACTATAGTAATCACTCATCACATGACTGCGTATTGAATTAAATTTTTGTCGGAAAGTTTGGCCAAAATTCGAAAGATAATTTTATCTAAAATCCCGAAATTATTCGTATATTGCACCCGTCTCGCACCGACCACATTGTGTAAGTGGTAGGGTAGGTTAAAATCTCTTTGTTGTCTAGACAAACGAGGGGTTAACAAAGGGTTTAAACTTGGTTAACTTAAGAGGTCCTCCACGAAGACAGGAATGTCAAATTGCTGGATGAAGAAGTTCAACAGTCTTTTGGGTTCGGATCATAACTACAAGACGGTGGAATTAAACTTTCATAGGCAGTAAATACCGTATTGTTTGGCGCAGCATGTCCTTATTTGGACTTTGTGTCATTAAACCTACATTCAATCAATATGCGGCAGTAAATCCGATATGAGTCAGGTTTTCAATGTCATTGACGATAAAGGAAAAGAAAGTAAATAGACAAATTAAAATCCCGATTTAAATGTTGTCTGAGAAATATGTGACAAAGGAATTGCAGGTTTAATGCCACCATACACTTATAGAAATATCGGTGCTTCGAAAAGTAGTACGGTGCTCTAAACTTAATATGGTGGTACATTGAACCATGTTTCCGTTCTTATTGCATCATAGTATCATGTAATTCAGTCATGGTTCGACTCAATATCATATTACACACGATATTGTGGTACAACGGACTGCAGTTCATGTTACATTTTAACTTCAATTATTAAAGACTTAAATGTATTCAAAAAATTAAAAAAAAAGTCAAAATTATCTTTAAAAAAATTTTTTCATTAATCTAATTTTTACAATTTGAAGTTAATGAAATAGATACTAGAGAGTAATACTTAATTCATAATAATTATAGGATTTTAAAATTATACTATAAGGAAGGTGCTTCGAGAGCTTCATACTTAGTTTTGTAGGGATTGAATTCCCATGAATTGTTGTTTATGTGGAATTATACTAGATGGGACGGAAATTCTTTCAACACTTTATTGCATTTTTGGTGGTCAAGATCTATTTAATTTAATTTCCGTACTTGTAAAAAATGGTTCTCTCATTCTTATATTACAGAATGTTCTATGATCACCACTCTTACTGTATATTTTTAGAATCCAGGTCAAGAATGAAGAAAAAAATTAGTATACACGATAAAGGTCGTAAAATAGAAATCACCAAACAGAAAATGATGGTAAACATCAAAACCAGTAAGCTTTGGTTGTTTCAAATTGCCTTTTTCTTTTTATCATGCAACAATCGAACATGTTTTGATGGTTTTAGTCCCGTCTTCCTCAGAAGCAATTCGTTAGAGAGCATTTTTATTTCTTCCAAGCTTATATTTGCGACCCCAAAAATATGCACTTTTTTGTCACAATTTTTTACTCAGATTTTTAAAATATACATTAAAAGAGGTGGTAACGGAACTTTCTAAATTCTGCCAAAATGGACATTATAAAAATAACATAATATGTAGTAATTAACAGTGAACGTTAATATATGATTAGATTTTCTATTCTCTTGTATTTTTACTTATTAATTTATTTTGTTTTCGTAAGTGTACAAATTTCCCAAAAATAGTTGATTATTTAGTTATCTTTAAAGAATATTTTATTTTACTAATTTACATGAAAATAAATTAACAATTTGAATTGGAAAAAAGGGTTCTATAATTATAATTTACTGAGGTGCAAATTAATACACCATAGTGCAAGTTACAGTAATAAAAAACAGAATAATTTTAATAAAAAGTATCAGGGCTCATTATAAACCCCCCCCCCACAAAATTAGCATAAATACATTATATTTTAACAGCAGAATTTTTAATAAACATATTTTTCATACTTTCTTAATTAATTTAGTTTAAAATAAATGAAAATTATTATATTTTGTATTTTAATAATTTATGGTCATGAAATACAGCATAAGACACCGGTGTCTTTTTTTCTGCGTTCAAGGTAAAATCCTCCGAACACGGCTCACTTCCAAACAATTATTTTTGAAATTTGCATTTATTTAGATCTAAGAGAGACAGTTATTGAAATTTCTTTGATTTATAAAATCAATTATTGATAAATTTTTCAAACTATAAAAAAGAAAAGAGTTAACTTCCACTATAACGAATCATGTTCTGTGTAGAAACACAAATAGATAAAATATTTACAAATAAATTTCAAAAAGAATAAAAAAATTAGGATGGGGAATGTCTAATACATTTGATCCTAGTGGTCAGTTTTTGTAATTTATTTATAATTTCTGTTGCATGTCTGTCTGAGTTTCGACACAGAAGAAGTTGCTTCGTTTTAGTACAGAAACCGTCATATTCCTGTTCATGTGATATTTTTATCACGTTGTCCTTCTGTTCTTTCTTTTACTAGAATACAATTTGGCGATATTAAGGAAACGAATCGATTCATAAAATTTTCAGAACAATATTTTGAATATGAATTAAAAATTTCTAAGTGTTCGATGAAAAAGTTGCTAACACTTTTATAAAACATTTTAAAGTGTTTGTTGAGGGCTCACGTTAAAATAATAAATGTAAATTAAGCTATTATACTGTATTTTTTCAACTCAATTAAATTTTAATGTCTTCATTCCTGAATTGAAGAAAAAAATATTCATGCTTGTATTTAAAAATATAAATTTGTAATTCCATGTGCCAAGTGTATCATGTATAGCGGCCAACTTTTACACTTATGGTGAACATGCAATTCAGTTTACAATCTTATAAAATAAAATTCGGTTAAAAATATGTTTAGACGCGCCTCTTGGCGAAAATTCGTAATTCATTTTAGTACCAATTGTGTTAATTGCCCAAATCAAATGGCACAGCACATAAAATAAAATTAAAAAATTTAAAAAAAATAATAAATCCAAATAAAATGCATTTATTATAATGAATAAGTAAAACTAGAAATGCATGTTATCAAATATGCGGGGTAAAAAAGGTTGGTTAAATGAACGGGTAAATAAAACAACCTTTGCCTTGGCGACTAACTTTACTATACTCTAATTGGCAACTCAAAATATTTTAATTAACCTGATATATAAAATATATAACCTAAAACATGCTAAACTCCCAGTTTAATATTTATTTAAATAAAATGTCTTACGTTTTGTGAAAACAGCGATTCTAAAGGTTTTCCTTTATTTTACATACACAGGGTGTCCAAATTTATAATTTAAAATGGAGATTTTTTTTTTGGTATATACACTACGTATACTATGGTTATTTATTGACACAATATATCGAGCTATAAGATTTTTTTTGTTTGTTACTACCTATACTCGGCTTAGTTATAAATGTAACTGAATTTATTATGTCTTTCAAATTATAGTCGGGTGAGCTCCTCCAAAAGAAAAAAAAAAAAGAAAGTTCTAGAACAACAGAAGTTCGGCTGTGGAACCCGAGCTATTTGGGAGGAAAGCCGACCGCATAAAAAAAAGAAGAAAAACACTAGCAGTTGTGAATTTACTAACAAAAGAAAAAATAGAGAGAACGATTTCTTTTTTAATTAATTTAATGTGAAAAAGGAAATATTTAATCTTATAAGATTAGTTTAACAGTTTTTGATATACGTATGCTCATAATAAATAAAATATGCTGAATTATAATTCACAAAAAAAGAATTAAAAAAAAAAACAGTTATAAAGGTAAAAATAGTTATTAGAAAAGCACAATTCTTCATTCTAAAATTAGTATTTTGTTTTATTTTAAATTAAAAAAATAGATGAGAAATACTTAATGATTTTTTTAAATTTGGTTACTTTTATTCATTGGGCATAAAAATAATTACTACTTAAAAAGAAATTCTTATTTTCGGAACTTCTGTAATCTTTCCACGGAACCTTAGGGTTCTGCGAACTAACCAAAATATAAACAGAACCCCAAAACAGAACCTTAGGGTTCTGTTTTGGGGACCGCTGATCTAGTAAACCAATTTCGACCACCAAAAGTAGACATTGCATAACCTTGAAACGACAAAATAATGGATAAAATATTTTTTGACAGTGAATATACGTTTTTTTTTTATGAAGTACTCCATAATCAATAACCCTGAAATATCTGCTCTTTCTCTCTCTCTTTCTTTCTTTTTTTTACTGGGCAATATTTTATAGCTCAAAACACTAATCTTGCGTGATTTTCGGGCACCCTATAAAGCGAATAATTTTTTTTTTAGTTCTAAATTTTAAAATAAAATTACTTTGCCATTTGACAAACACATACTCTTAAGTAAGCGTAAAAATTGGCTGCTATGATAATGCTAATACCATTTGCGT